GAGAGACTAGAGAGAGAGCAGAGACAGAGCAGAGAGAGCAGAGAGAGAATGCAGAGAGAGACCAGTAAGAGACCAGAGAGAGCAGAGAGAGACCAGAGAGAGACTAGAGAGAGAGACCAGAGAGAGAGACCAGAGAGAGACCCGAGAGAGATACCAGAGAGAGACCAGAGAGAGCGGAGAGAGACCAGAGAGAGCAGAGAGAGAGACCAGAGAGAGACCAGAGAGAGAGACCAGAGAGAGAGACCAGAGAGAGACCCGAGAGAGACACCAGAGAGAGACCAGAGAGAGCGGAGAGAGACCAGAGAGAGCAGAGAGAGAGAGCAGAGAGAGACCAGAGAGAGAGACCGGGTAGAGACCAGAGAGAGACTGTGCATATGGAGAAGGTGTTCTACCGTGTCCCCCTAGTTCCTTTGGGGGTTTCTCCTAGAGTCCGGGGTCCTCAGCTGGGGGCCGTCGGGTCCCTGTGACCAGAGTCAGACCTGTGTACATCAGCAGTAAGTCACATGACTGTTGGCCCCGCCCCCAAACATTCCTCTCTCAGTCTGCGGTTCACATAAACACATGTTCAGAGCGCTACTGTTTACACACACGCCGCCGTGCAAATTGCCTCACTTATGTCACATCTCTTACCCACAATGCACCAGCCCCTCCCCCTCCCCTCTTCTATAAACAATCAATATTTATGTCGTTTGGAGCCATGATGGTAAAATCCATCTTTTTTACAGCCGCCCTGAGCCTCGAGGAGCGCTGTGAGAAAGTGGAAGTATTTTCAAGGACTGAGGCGTAATGAGGCCTGACACACATTAAGGAGAGAGACCAGAGTGAGACCAGAGCGAGACCAGAGCGAGACCAGAGAGAGACCAGAGAGAGACCAGAGCGAGACCAGAGAGACCAGAGCGAGACCGAAGAGAGACCAGAGAGACCAGAGAGAGACCAGAGCGAGACCAGAGCGAGACCAGAGAGACCAGAGCGAGACCAGAGAGACCAGAGACACCAGAGCGAGACCGAAGAGAGACCAGAGAGACCAGAGAGAGACCAGAGAGAGACCAGAGAGAGACCAGAGAGAAACTAGAGAGAGACCAGAGAGAGACCAGAGAGAGACCAGAGAGAGACCAGAGAGAGACTTGAGAGAGACTAGAGAGAGACTAGAGAGAGACCAGAGAGAGACCAGATAGAGACTAAAGAGAGACCAGAGAGAAATCAGAGAGAGACCAGAGAGACTAGAGAGAGAGCAGAGAGAGAGAGCAGAGAGACCAGAGAGAGACCATAGAGAGACCAGAGAGAGAGAGACAAGAGAGACACCATAGAGAGAGACCATAGAGAGATCAGAGAGAGACCATAGAGAGAGACCAGAGAGAGAGACCATAGAGAGACCATAGAGAGACTAGAGAGAGACCAGAGAGAGACCAGAGAGAGACCAGAGAGAGACCATAGAGAGACCAGAGAGAGACCAGAGAGAGACCAGAGAGAGACCATAGAGAGACCAGAGAGAGACCAGAGAGACGCCATAGAGAGACCAGAGAGAGAGACCATAGAGAGACCAGAGAGAGACCATAGAGAGAGACCAGAGAGAGACCAGAGAGACACCATAGAGAGATCAGAGAGAGACCAGAGAGAGAGACTATAGAGAGACCAGAGAGAGACCATAGAGAGAGACCAGAGAGAGACCAGAGAGAGACCAGAAAGAGACTTCTGTGATTAACACTTTGATTTAGACTTTGATAATGAGAAAATAACTTATTCCGGTTTCTTCGCTGAAACTCTTGTGTGAGGACTTTTCCCGTCTCCTTTTTGCGGTTTGAGTTTTTATTTAAGCAGAATAAACTCTGCATGGCCCGATGGCTGCCGGCGAAGTCAGCTCTACATTTTGGACTAACTTTGGGCACATTTGTATGCAAGAACCGGGCGGGCCGTTCTGATGAAGTCCCGAAGTTTCCGACGGTGACTGACACGCAGAGAATTGCAAAAGTCTTCGGCAGCGTGAAGGATTTCAAATATCCCACAGCAAAAACAATCTCTGTAATCCGTGGATCATTTCACTAAATTCAAATTACAGACACTGTGCTTTCTCGATCCAGGCTCCGTCAGAAATGTGTCTTTCTCTGGTTTTGGGGGAAAACCGAGTTCAGCCTTTAAAGGAGCCGTATTCTGCTGCTTCATGTTTCATGGACCTTTACGTGATGATGATGATGAGGCTGATGATGATGATGATGATGATGATGATGAGGCTGATGATGATGATGATGAGGCTAATGATGATGATGTTGATGATGATTAGGCTGATGATGACGATGACGATGATGAGGCTGATGATGATGATGATGAGGCTGATGATGATGTTGATGATGAGGCTGATGATGATGAGGCTGATGATAATGAAGATCAGGCTGATGATTATGAGATGATGATGATTATGATGATGAGGCTGATGATGATGATGAGGCTGATGATGATGAGGCTGATGATGATGATGTTGATGATGATGATGATGATGAGGATGAAGCTGATGATGATGATGAGGCTGATGATGATGAGGCTGATGATGATGATGTTGATGATGATGATGATGTTGATGATGAGGCTGAAGATGATGTTGATGATGAGGATGAGGCTGATGATGATGAGGCTGATGATGATGATGTTGATGATGAGGCTGATGATGATGAGGATGATGATGATGATGATGATGAGGCTGATGATGATGATGATGAGGCTGATGAGGATAATGAGGCTGATGATGATGAAGATGAGGCTGATGATTATGAGGATGATGATGATTATGATGATGAGGCTGATGATGATGAGGCTGATGATGATGATGATGAGGCTGATGATGATGTTGATGATGAGGCTGATGATGATGATGTTGATGATGAGGCTGATGATGATGTTGATGATGAGGCTGATGACGATGTTGATGATGAGGATGAGGCTGATGATGATGATGTTGATGATGAGGCGGATGATGATGATGAGGCTGATGATGATAATGAGGCTGATGATGATGTTGATGATGAGGCTGATGATGATGAGGCTGATGAGGATAATGAGGCTGATGATGATGTTGATGATGAGGCTGATGATGATGATGATGAGGCTGCTGCTGATGATGATGATGATGAGGATGATGATGATGTTGATGATGAGGCTGATGATGATGATGATGAGGCTGCTGCTGATGATGATGACGATGAGGATGATGAGGCTGATGATGATGTTGATGATTAGGCTGATGATGATGAGGCTGATGATGATGAGGCTGATGATGTTGATGATGATGATGAGGCTGATGATGATGAGGCTAATGATGATGATGATAAGGCTGATGATGATGATGTTGATGATGATGATGATGAGGCTGATGATGATGAGGCTGATGATGATGATGAGGCAGATTATGATAATGAGGCTGATGATGATGTTGATGATGAGGCTGATGATGATGATGAGGCTGATGAGGATTAGGCTGATGATGATGATGATGAGGCTGATGATGATGATGAGCCTGATGATGAGGCTGATGATGATGATGATGAGGCTGATGATGATGATGAGGCTGATGATGATGTTGATGATGAGGCTGATGATGATGATGATGATGATGCTGATGATGAGGCTGATGATGATGATGTTGATGATGAGGCTGATGATGATGATGAGGCTGATGATGATGACGAGGCTGATGATGATGATGATGAGGCTGATGATGATGATGAGGCTGATGATGATGAGGATGACGAGGCTGATGATGATGTTGATGATGAGGCTGATGATGATGATGAGGATGATGCTGATGAGGATGATGATGAGGCTGATGATGATGATGCTGATGAGGATGATGATGAGGCTGATGATGATGATGATGAGGCTGATGATGAGGCTGATGATGAGGCTGATGATGAGGCTGAAGAGAGACCAGAGAGAGACCAGAGAGAGACCAGAGAGAGACCATAGAGAGACCAGAGAGAGACCAGAGAGACGCCATAGAGAGACCAGAGAGAGAGACCATAGAGAGACCAGAGAGAGACCAGAGAGAGACCATAGAGAGAGACCAGAGAGAGACCAGAGAGACACCATAGAGAGATCAGAGAGAGACCAGAGAGAGAGACTATAGAGAGACCAGAGAGAGACCATAGAGAGAGACCAGAGAGAGACCAGAGAGAGACCAGAGAGAGACCAGAAAGAGACTTCTGTGATTAACACTTTGATTTAGACTTTGATAATGAGAAAATAACTTATTCCGGTTTCTTCGCTGAAACTCTTGTGTGAGGACTTTTCCCGTCTCCTTTTTGCGGTTTGAGTTTTTATTTAAGCAGAATAAACTCTGCATGGCCCGATGGCTGCCGGCGAAGTCAGCTCTACATTTTGGACTAACTTTGGGCACATTTGTATGCAAGAACCGGGCGGGCCGTTCTGATGAAGTCCCGAAGTTTCCGACGGTGACTGACACGCAGAGAATTGCAAAAGTCTTCGGCAGCGTGAAGGATTTCAAATATCCCACAGCAAAAACAATCTCTGTAATCCGTGGATCATTTCACTAAATTCAAATTACAGACACTGTGCTTTCTCGATCCAGGCTCCGTCAGAAATGTGTCTTTCTCTGGTTTTGGGGGAAAACCGAGTTCAGCCTTTAAAGGAGCCGTATTCTGCTGCTTCATGTTTCATGGACCTTTACGTGATGATGATGATGAGGCTGATGATGATGATGATGATGATGATGATGAGGCTGATGATGATGATGATGAGGCTAATGATGATGATGTTGATGATGATGAGGCTGATGATGACGATGACGATGATGAGGCTGATGATGATGATGATGAGGCTGATGATGATGTTGATGATGAGGCTGATGATGATGAGGCTGATGATAATGAAGATCAGGCTGATGATTATGAGATGATGATGATTATGATGATGAGGCTGATGAAGATGAGGATGAGGCTGATGATGATGTTGATGATGAGGCTGATGATCATGAGGATGAAGCTGATGATGATGATGAGGCTGATGATGATGAGGCTGATGATGATGATGTTGATGATGATGATGATGTTGATGATGAGGCTGAAGATGATGTTGATGATGAGGATGAGGCTGATGATGATGAGGCTGATGATGATGATGTTGATGATGAGGCTGATGATGATGAGGATGATGATGATGATGATGATGAGGCTGATGATGATGATGATGAGGCTGATGAGGATAATGAGGCTGATGATGATGAAGATGAGGCTGATGATTATGAGGATGATGATGATTATGATGATGAGGCTGATGATGATGAGGCTGATGATGATGATGATGAGGCTGATGATGATGTTGATGATGAGGCTGATGATGATGATGTTGATGATGAGGCTGATGATGATGTTGATGATGAGGCTGATGACGATATTGATGATGAGGATGAGGCTGATGATGATGATGTTGATGATGAGGCGGATGATGATGATGAGGCTGATGATGATAATGAGGCTGATGATGATGTTGATGATGAGGCTGATGATGATGAGGCTGATGAGGATAATGAGGCTGATGATGATGTTGATGATGAGGCTGATGATGATGATGATGAGGCTGCTGCTGATGATGATGATGATGAGGATGATGATGATGTTGATGATGAGGCTGATGATGATGATGATGAGGCTGCTGCTGATGATGATGACGATGAGGATGATGAGGCTGATGATGATGTTGATGATTAGGCTGATGATGATGAGGCTGATGATGATGAGGCTGATGATGTTGATGATGATGATGAGGCTGATGATGATGAGGCTAATGATGATGATGATAAGGCTGATGATGATGATGTTGATGATGATGATGATGAGGCTGATGATGATGAGGCTGATGATGATGATGAGGCAGATTATGATAATGAGGCTGATGATGATGTTGATGATGAGGCTGATGATGATGATGAGGCTGATGAGGATTAGGCTGATGATGATGATGATGAGGCTGATGATGATGATGAGCCTGATGATGAGGCTGATGATGATGATGATGAGGCTGATGATGATGATGAGGCTGATGATTATGTTGATGATGAGGCTGATGATGATGATGATGATGATGCTGATGATGAGGCTGATGATGATGATGTTGATGATGAGGCTGATGATGATGATGAGGCTGATGATGATGACGAGGCTGATGATGATGATGATGAGGCTGATGATGATGATGAGGCTGATGATGATGAGGATGACGAGGCTGATGATGATGTTGATGATGAGGCTGATGATGATGATGAGGATGATGATGATTCTGATGAGGATGATGATGATGATGATGATGCTGATGAGGATGATGATGAGGCTGATGATGATGATGATGAGGCTGATGATGAGGCTGATGATGAGGCTGATGATGATGATGATGAGGCTGATGATGAGGCTGATAATGATGATGAGGCTGATGATGATGATGAGGCTGATGATGATGATGATGATGAGGCTGATGATGATGAGGCTGATGATGACGAGGCTGATGATGATGAGGCTGATGATGATGAGGCTGATGATGAGGCTGATGATGATGAGGCTGATGATGATGATGAGGCTGATGACGAGGCTGATGATGATGATGATGAGGCCGATGATGAGGCTGATGATGATGTTGATGATGAGGCTGATGATGAGGCTGATAATGATGATGATGATGATGAGGCTGATGATGATGATGAGGCTGATAATGATTATGAGGCTGATGATTATGATGATGATGAGGCTGATGATGATGATGAGGCTGATGATGATGATGATGATGATGAGGCTGATGATGATGATGAGGCTGATGATGATGATGAGGCTGATGATGATGTTGATGATGAGGCTGATGATGCTGATGATGATGTTGAGGCTGATGATGATGATGATGAGGCCGATGATGAGGCTGATGATGAGGCCGATGATGTTGATGATGTTGATGATGAGGCTGATGATGATGATGAGGCTGATGATGATGAGGCTGATGATGACGAGGCTGATGATGATGATGAGGCTGATAATGATGATGAGGCTGATGATGATGAGGCTGATGATGATGAGGCTGATGATGACGAGGCTGATGATGACGAGGCTGATGATGATGAGGCTGATGATGATGAGGCTGATGATGATGATGAGGCTGATAATGATGATGAGGCTGATGATGATGAGGCTGATGATGACGAGGCTGATGATGATGAGGCTGATGATGATGAGGCTGATGATGATGAGGCTGATGATGATGCAGCAGTTAGATCCATTAAGTGCATAGATGTGATGTCACCCTACACCCCGCCCTCATCCACCTCCCCCCACCATCATCCACCTCCCCCCACCATCATCCACCTCCACCCACCCTCATCCACCTCCACCCACCCTCATCCACCTCCAAACACCCTCACCCACATCCCTCCACCCTCACCAGGCTCCCCCCACTCTCACCCACCTCAGCCCGACCTTCCCCTGCCCTCACCCTAGAGATTCCCTCCACCCTCATCCATTTCCCCCCACCCTCACCCGCCTTCCCTTGCCCTTCATCCACCTCCCCTCGCCCTCTCCCACCTCCCCCCACCCCCACCCACCTCCCCCACCCTCACCCACCTCCCCCCACCCCCACCCACCTCCCCCACCCTCACCAGCCTCCCCCCACTCTCACCCGCCTCAGCCCGACCTCCCCCTGCCCTCACCCTAGAGATTCTGTACTTTTTTCTTTAATATGCTAAAGTTAGAGATTTCACTTTGACTTCTTCATTACGCTGCTGTTGTCACTGTTGCATCTTATCAAGCAAACGTTGTCGTCAAAACTTTGTCTTTCACTGAAAAAACAAAAATACAAAAATAGATAAAAAATGTACTGTGTATGAATATGTTTTCATGGTGGAAGCAGACCTAGAAAAAAACACATAATATTAATCAGAGAAAAAATAGAATAAATATGTGAAATGGGTGGTGATGATTAAAACTAGTGCTGAGAATGAGAATAACAATTAAAACTAGAAACTTGCAATGGTTGAAGCCATTGCGATTGACTGCGGAACAGATCTAATGTGGAAATCTGCTAAAAAAAATCCTTGAAATCCTTTAAAAGGCCTTGAAACTGTTAAAATACTTGATAGATATTTGAAACTCCTGAAGTCCTTGAAATTGTTGAAACCTTTAAACTCCTGAAATCCTTGAAACTGTTGAAACATTGAAACTCCTGAAATCCTTGAAACTTTTTTTAAACCTGGAAACTGTTGAAAGTGTGGAAACTCCTGAAATCCTTGAACCTCCTGATATCCTTGAAACTGGTTAAATTCTTAAACAGTTGAAATCCTTGAAACTACTGAATGTATTGAAAGTGTCCTTGAAACTGAAAAATCCCCTCACCGCTGAAACAATTTGGTTCCTGTAACTAAGGAAACCTGGTCTGTGGTCATTATCTGGTGGTGGTCTGAGTCTTCGTTTGGGTCTTGGTCTGGTGGTATAATGCAACCTATTAGGTTGCATTATACATGAAAAAACCCTATTAAGTTGCATTATACTGGTTTACATGAAAAAAACCCTATTAAGTTGCATTATACTGGTTAACATGAAAAAAACCCTATTAAGTTGCATTATACTGGTTTACATGGAAAAATCCCTATTAAGTTGCATAATACTGGTTTACATGGAAAAATCCCCATTAAGTTGCATTATACTGGTTTACATGAAAAAAACCCTATTAAGTTGCATTATACTGGTTTACATGGAAAAATCCCTATTAAGTTGCATTATACTGGTTTACATTGAAAAATCCCTATTAAGTTGCATTATACTGGTTTACATGGAAAAATCCCTATTAAGTTGCATTATACTGGTTTACATGGAAAAACCCCTATTAAGTTGCATTATACTGGTTTACATGTAAAAAAACCCTATTAAGTTGCATTATACTGGTTTACATGTAAAAACCCCTATTAAGTTGCATTATACTGGTTTACATGGAAAAATCCCTATTAAGTTGCATTATACTGGTTTACATGGAAAAATCCCTATTAAGTTGCATAATACTGGTTTACATGGAAAAATCCCCATTAAGTTGCATTATACTGGTTTACATGTAAAAAACCCGATTAAGTTGCATTATACTGGTTTACATGGAAAAAAACCCTATTAAGTTGCATTATACTGGTTTACATGGAAAATTCCCTATTAAGTTGCATTATACTGGTTTACATGGAAAAATCCCATTAAGTTGCATTATACTGGTTTACATGGAAAAATCCCTATTAAGTTGCATTATACTGGTTTACATGGAAAAAACCCTATTAAGTTGCATTATACTGGTTTACATGGAAAAAAACCCTATTAAGTTGCATTATACTGGTTTACATGTAAAAACCCCTATTAAGTTGCATTATACTGGTTTACATGGAAAAATCCCCATTAAGTTGCATTATACTGGTTTACATGAAAAAAAACCCTATTAAGTTGCATTATACTGGTTTACATGAAAAAACCCTATTAAGTTGCATTATACTGGTTTACATGGAAAAATCCCTATTAAGTTGCATTCTACTGGTTTACATGGAAAAATCCCTATTAGGTTGCATGATTACACTGAAGTCCTTGAAACTGCTGAAGTCCTTGAAACTGCTGAAGTCCTTGAAACTGCTGAAGTCCTTGAAACTGTTGAAGTCCTTGAAACTCTTGAAATCTTGAAACTGCTGAAATCCTTGAAACTGTTGAATCCTTGAAACTGTTGAATCATTGAAACTGTAGAAATGTCTGAAAGAGCTGAAGTCCTATTAAAATGCATGGGCCTATTAAAATGCATTGCAGAATTCTCAATGCAGATTTTTGTCCGATTGATTGGAAAAACCGGAAATCGCTGAAGTCCCAAAAGTAATAGCAATAATCTCCCAAACATGTGGAACGTTTTGATGTATAACTTGTGGTCATTGTTGAAAATGTGAAAGCTGTGAAACGTGTTAACAAATACTTTCACATTTTCAAGGTTTCCACAAGTTATACATCAAAACGTTCCAATTGCTATTACTTTTGGGACTTCAGCGATTTCCGGTTTTTCCGCAATCGGACAAAAATCTGCATTGAGAATTCTGCAATGCATTTTAATAGGCCCATGCATTTTAATAGGACTTCAGCTCTTTCAGACATTTCTACAGTTTCAATGATTCAACAGTTTCAAGGATTCAACAGTTTCAAGGATTTCAGCAGTTTCAAGATTTCAAGAGTTTCAAGGACTTCAACAGTTTCAAGGACTTCAGCAGTTTCAAGGACTTCAGCAGTTTCAAGGACTTCAGCAGTTTCAAGGACTTCAGTGTAATCATGCAACCTAATAGGGATTTTTCCATGTAAACCAGTATAATGCAACTTAATAGGGATTTTTCCATGTAAACCAGTATAATGCAACTTAATAGGGTTTTTTCATGTAAACCAGTATAATGCAACTTAATAGGGGTTTTTTCATGTAAACCAGTATAATGCAACTTAATAGGGGTTTTTACATGTAAACCAGTATAATGCAACTTAATAGGGTTTTTTACCATGTAAACCAGTATAATGCAACTTAATAGGGTTTTTTCCATGTAAACCAGTATAATGCAACTTAATAGGGATTTTTCCATGTAAACCAGTATAATGCAACTTAATGGGGATTTTTCCATGTAAACCAGTATAATGCAACTTAATGGGGATTTTTCCATGTAAACCAGTATATGCAACTTAATAGGGATTTTTCCATGTAAACCAGTATAATGCAACTTAATAGGGATTTTTCCATGTAAACCAGTATAATGCAACTTAATGGGGATTTTTCCATGTAAACCAGTATTATGCAACTTAATAGGGGTTTTTTCATGTGTAAACCAGTATAATGCAACTTAATAGGGATTTTTCCATGTAAACCAGTATAATGCAACTAAATAGGGATTTTTCCATGTAAACCAGTATAATGCAACTTAATAGGGATTTTTCCATGTAAACCAGTATAATGCAACTTAATAGGGTTTTTTACATGTAAACCAGTATAATGCAACTTAATAGGGATTTTTCCATGTAAACCAGTATAATGCAACTTAATAGGGTTTTTTACATGTAAACCAGTATAATGCAACTTAATAGGGTTTTTTCCATGTAAACCAGTATAATGCAACTTAATAGGGGTTTTTACATGTAAACCAGTATAAAGGATAACACGTTTAAAGGATATCAGGAGCTTCAAATACTTCAGGAGTTTCAAAGATGTTTAAAGTATTTTAACAGTTTCAAGGATTTCAAGGATTTTTCAGCTAAATTCCACATTAGTCTGTTCCGCAGTCAATCGCAATGGCTTCAGCCATTGCAACGGTTTCTAGTTTTGTATTTTGTTGTTTACATAAAAAAATGTAGCAAAGAGTCAAATAGTTTTACACTTGTTCTTTATGACGCGCTCTCAGCTAGGAGCATTGTGTGTTGTTATAGTGTTGGATCTCTTCTCTTAACGGATGATGCAAAACACCTGACATTTCCCGCTGTTAGACCAATAATAATTTATTTCTGAGTAATCCCCGCTGCATTCTTCCCCGTCTCCGTCTGTTTGTGTTTCTAGGCTTACATAAACACGTAGGTTTCTGATTTCAGACGGCGTCTGGTCGGATACGCCGCCCCGAGCCCGTCAGACCCCGCCGCGTGCGCAATCCAAATGCGTCTGACTGTGACCCTTCGGCACAATGCTATTCCGGCCCGAGCCTTTTGATTCTGGGGGGATATGAGTACCGACGGCTCACTTGGTTTTCCAAATGTTAACCACTGCCCCCATGATCCACAGCTACCAGCCTCTGCCGGCCAATCAGAGGGTCCTTTGCTCCCAGCTAGTAACACTATCCCGTAAGTATAATACTGTAGATCCATGGTATCTTAGCTTCAGATTCAGATTAATGTTGTTATGTCCCGTGGGAGATGTGTCCTGGACTCACAGATGCAAAATGTTTTATCCGACTTAACAAAGCTAACTCCAACGCTGCAGAAGTGACTCTGTGTTGTGTGTCCGTTTGTTGTGTATCTGTGTTGTTGGGCGGGTGTTGTGTGTCAGAGTGTGTGTGTCCGTGTGTTGTGTGTCCGTGTGTTGTGTGTCTGTGGCCACTCGCAGCAGATGGATTGAGGCGTGAAGTGAAGCTGCATAACAGAATGTCAGTGACTTTTATGAGCAGCTCAGAGTCGCCATAATTACTTTTTTTCAAGGAGCCAGAGCCACTCGAGAAGCAGAGAAATATAACCTGTCACAGCGTCTGTCTCATCCGCATCATCCTCATTTACTCTTATTAATTGGTTTTCGCTGCAAAAAATTGTGTGTATTGGTCCTCGCGAACTGACAAGGCGAAAGTGGGAAGAGGCGAAGAATCATCACAACAATAATTATAATAATAAGAAAACAAAATAAAATAACAATAATAATGCATTGGTTTTATACAGAGATGTTTTTGGGCGAATGTTTCACTCCAACCACAGCTGCCCTGGGGCACACTGACAGAAGCG